TCTCTTAGGATGGTTGCAGTAAAAATTACGAGATAAAAGTATGGTGACGATAAAAGAATGTGCAAGCTCTATGCCTCATCAAGAGGTTTAGGATAACACAGATGTGAGTATTCCCACCTAGAGTTTAAGGGGATTCTGATACAGTCCACTGGTTGTTGTGCACTACTGTCTTCACTTAATGAACACGGGTTATCTAACGTAGCGTAAATGTGTCACTGTGTGTAATCAAGGCGCTATTTGCTAGTGAAAACGTAGGGCATTAACTACTTGCGCTGGGAGGGAATCCTTGACTGACACTTGGATGAAGAAAACGTTTCGTCGATATTTCATTCAGCTGTACTGCTTGCGTATCCTAATCTGATTACATTGCATGATCAGCTGTCTAGTCAGCATTCATTTCGTGCGCCACCGCAACAGACATACAACATGACAGTAAACATGGTCAATCCAGAATCTACTTCGATTCGATGTGGACAAATGTAGAGCGCCGCATCTATGATATAAGTTGGTGTACTCCTAAAAACTCGGTAACCAGGTGGTTCAAGCGTCTTCCGGCGAGAAGGATCTGGGAGTTTTGTCCAGGCCGACCTTGAATGCACGAAACAGGTTGAAAAGGTGTCCAGACGGGGCATCCAACACGTGGGCCTCCTGAAGCGTGCATTCGGACGATTCGACCCTTCGATTTTTCCACAACTTCGCAGCTCATCCATACGGTCACATGTGGCAGTCATGGCTGACGAGGGATCACATCGCCTTGCAGATACCTCAACGCCGGGCAACCAAAAATGTCAAGGGCCAGTATAATTTTCTATATGAACGAAGACTACAAGTGCTCGGGGTCTTCAGCTGACAGTATCGGCGATTGCGCGCGGACCTCATTTTAACTTACCAGACTTTGTGAGATCCCAACTACACGTGCCGCTGCTTGCTAGAGCTCAGTCACAACAGCAATTTGAGAGGCCACCATCTGAAGCTGACAGAGCAGCACAGTCGTTTGGAATGCCATCGGAATTTCATTTCCGTACGCATTTGTAGAACATGGAATGCCCTACCGGGATCTGGCAGAGTTCGAAGCCAGAGTTGACCGCGCACTTACATCGTTGCACCATCCTACATGACCCAGTACCCATGAATAAACCCAAGTGTCAGTGCGAGATTTCACTGGCGGTCAAATCCCAGATTTCGTTCCACATTTTTCACCTGCTGTATATGTACACCGGCAATAAACACGATTTTTATCAACATCCCATTTGCCGTCATTCCTTATGGGTTTGCCTTGGATTTGCAGCTTATACTACGTATAATTCAGTGAGTTCACCGATTTGAACCCGTTTGTTAATATATTTTCTAGATTTTGTACTATAACCATAACCATCCTACGGGACCTGTTGAACATTAGCTCTTATATTTGGATAAGCTATTGTTCCATTGACTAAAGAAACGCGTGTTTGGTCACTGTTGCTACCGTACTGCAGCCAAGTGGTACAGCTCGTACCAGTTGAGCAAAAGCACGGAGGCGTTGTAGTGGCGCGGAAGGCAGCGATCACGCATGAGACTGAAAAATCACTAGAACGAGGACCGAAGCGGGCGCAGATATCATGGACGAGATCGAACGGCGCAACCCCAGCCCAACAATAGGAGCAGAGAGCGGAACGCGCGCAACGAACGGGAACGTGCCTGCGCCAAATAGTACATAAAAGGGCCATGTCGACAGATCAGTAAATCAGACAGAAACACCTTTGTCGGTGCATCCAAGAGTAACCCCAAGTCAAATAAGGCACCTGAGATCATGCAAATCAAGAACTTTAGAAAAACTCCAGGCTGATCGCAATGCGAGAAAAGGAAGCAAAGCTACGGGGTCAGACAAGCAGCCAGGGCCACGAAATATTCAGGCCAACGAGACACCAACGTGACATGTTGTGAGTCCCCACGTGTGTTGTGTTGTGGGACGGAAACATGGTGGATACATGCGTGTGCGCGCAGCTTGTGAAAACCGTGGTCGCGTGCACTAAAGATTGTGCTTTCTTGTCGCTTTGTTCTTGCTACAATATTACAAATAGACATGCGCACGGTTGCATTGGAAGAGAGGTATGCAAGGATACGAAGCTTTTGGAACTGTGATTTTAAAAATTTCTCAACCATTCACAATAGTACACTCGTCTATAAACAACCTTCTAACGTCAGGTTGGGATAAACGCATAACGATTGCAATGGCGCTTCCAAAGACTGAGTTTGTAGATCGGGGAGGAAGTCAATCTATATTATAACCGTGCCTTTGCTATATGAATATTTGTGTATTCTGATACTGAGCCCCTTGAAGTGGCCATGTGTTACTCGTCTATACTATATTAGCGGCTTCAGCGAAGACGTTGAGGCACAAAATGGGCTCAGAGCGTATGTATCGTCCTCTACCGTATGGTCTTTGATATAACGCATGTCAACATTTCCCAGTCTTACTCTACCACCAAGTAAAATATGGTGTCGGTTCATGTGTGTATGGCATGCCAAGTGCGCGCCTAGTCATCCTGAACGTTGTAGATTGGTTAGCGTAGAACATCAGTTTTAAAGTTTCATCGGATGGGGTTCTTTACTTTCAACGTGCTTATCAAACAAAATATTGATTTTCATCGTCTCCCTACATTCTTTTCGATGCCGTTAATCTAAATCGCATGGTGCTCACCGCCATCTGAGCCTACGCTTTCCAATCTCTTACTTCTGTAAAGTTTCCATAACATTGGGCCGGAGTATGCTATTGATATGCGAAATATCCCAAACCATCAGAGCTCGGCTTTCGCAGGAGGATTCGGTAGATATTGTCATCGATCAAAGTGACTTAAACACGATATACTTCATCGTGCGCAATCCAAATCATGAACGCCGCTCTTTGTTGCAGTTCAAGAGTAACCTAAACCCGAGGTCATTCAAGGAAAACAAAGGAACAGTAGAACAGCATAGAATACCATAAAAACTTGTTGCTGGTTGTTTCACCAAGCTGAGTGATTCCATTGTAGACATCTCTTCACCAACCAAAGTGCCCGATAGTGGTGTTAGCTGTAGTGGGGGCAGTAGTAGCAACAGATCTGATATTAGGAATCGCACTTCACACAAATTTCTGATGGAATTTTCTTTTCTGTTCGTTTATATCGGCAATGGAATTCAATTCTAGCGTCGGTCGTTCCTATGACGACATGACATCTTTAAAGGACGATTACAATATGCACCCAGACATCTACCCTTCGTCCCAGTGAACCATCCTCCTTTCGATTTTCAGAACAAGAGTCTCGACTTTACTACCTGACACCCTATAAAATAAACTTGGGAGGAGAACCAGTGTCTAAATTAAACGTAAAATAATCCGCTTGATCCTTGTCAACAAATGCAATATCTTTTTAATTTGACAAGTTTTAGGGAACTCCCACTAAACCGCCCAACGGAGCTTACATACCCCAAGCTCCTTCACCTGTAATAAGGCCCTGTAAATTGTTCATAAAGCAATCACTTTTCTTACCTCGAACTGATGAAGATCCCACTAGACACTGTTAAAAGTTGGTCTTTCAAAAGGACTCCAGATTTATTGTGCCTCATTAGCTTTTACCAACTGTAATCTTCTCAAAAATCACGTCAGTATCTCAACCATTCCCGCTTTCCAATTCAGATGCTCCACTAATCATTGTGGTGATCGATTTCTTCGGTCGCAAAGCTACTATGGCTACGTGGAATGGACTGACCGGTGCGATGTTCTTTTTGCTCTACGTTTGTATGTCCAAAAAAGCGATGACCGGCGTGTTGTTTATGGTGCGTGCTTTTACTGCCGGTCTGCTCAGTCTCACTTACTTGTACACAACTGAGGTGAGTCAGCGTCTGTTGCCTTCCATAGCTTTGGCCAATTGTTCACTATTCCTGTTAATGCACGCCTAGAACAGCCGTTGAATAAGAACCGCTGCAACGCTACCGGGATGAGAGTTTGTCCGTTGTTCTAATCCATTGAGTTACACTGTATGGTACTCTCAGTTGACACGTGAGCTACTACCATCAAATTGGTCAGTGGTTAAAAAATCAGGCAAGCAGTCTTCAGAACCACTAGCTTAGGGTTGCAACTTGGATAGTAGTTATTTCTGTTGCAAGTAGGTCATGTGCATGATTACTTTATCCCTGCTGGCTTCCGGATTAGGAGCCAAATGGCTTGATCAATGACCTACATCATTCTTCCGCCTGAATCTAACCATCTGGAAGCATCCCAGCTTACGCACAATTATAAACTAAGCAGCATCACCCTGCACCGACCATCAGACAGTTTCCATGAGGAAGGCCCTACCCGATGCATACAGTGGGGCGGATAAACGGGGGAAATGTTGTAATAAACCTCTTTTCCATCCATTCCTGCTTCATCCCTTCTGCGGCTGAAATGTAGGTGATAGCAACTACAAACTTTCTGAAGTTTTGCCATTTGCACGCTTGTTACAACCATGCTAACCTGCTCCTTTAGTGGTGTACAGTGGTCTTGCGTTAGAAACATCATCAAGTCGCGGCCGCAAACACACACACACGCACGCACACACACACACACACACACTGCTTACCTTTAGATGCGGCTCCGACACCAATACCCTCAAGCGGCCATCAAACTAACTGCTACAGGTATATCCTCTTGCTTTTCATCACTCTCATCGAGGCGATCTCAACTAAAGGCGGACACGGGAACTCGGATTAGACATTGTTCGTACTTCTAGGTTTCGATCTCGACTTAGTGCGCCCCGATGAAGTACCAGCTGTGTACAGCTCTTTTGACAAAATCGACTAAACATGGTGAATGAAGTTTCACCAATCGTTGTATGTGAATGGTTGCAGCATCCACCAGAAAAGACTGTTTTCCCCATGCTACCAAAAGTATTTTTTCTTACGAATATAGTACTACAGCATTCAGTTTGTTCAGCTTGGATATAGTTTTGAGTGCTGTCAGTATGAATTTTCCGTTGGTTCCTAGGAATGAGGTACCTTCAACTTGTGGATTGTCGCTGCCTGCTGACGCCGGATGACATCGCAGTGAACACTTGCTTACTAGACGGCGGTGTTCATAAGAACAAGAAATCAGACTGAATTCGTTGCGTTGGTTAGAGTACTTACCATGTATGCACGCCCGGCGCCGAATTTAGGAGGAAGAAGTCTACAAAAAGGATGACTAGCGAATCGGTAGCGAGGAGTAAAACCGCAGGTGACTAAAGCGAGTTCTGCCGGTCCAGCTTTGCCATCAGGCAGATGTATAGGTAACCCATTAGGTGCGTGATTCCAGATCACCTAGTTCATGATTCGCAGCCTACACCACTGACGCGGTTGCACTCATCTCACAGCCCGAATACCTGGTCGAATTGTATCCCATGTTGACTTCTCTGTGCTGCTAGGCTGATTCTTGACAGGGGCAATAAATCCGAAGGCAAACTGGCTCGCCGATGCCAACTTATCTTCCCACGTCCGACGGACCTCTGTGCCCGTGTGATGTCGCCATGGTGTGGACGTTCTGAACCGGAATGCCTGTTCAGGACAGTTAGATTTTATGGAATGCTCTTTATTTTGTCTCTTAGCAAGCATTTACGTCTGCATGCAGCAAAATAAAAATATTGCACATTGATGTAATGCAGTTATTTGTCCAGAATGAAATCACTCTGATTTATGCTCCTTATATCTACAAGAAAATTCTTGATGACTATATCTATCCTAATGGGCTAAAAACAAAGCATCTTTACAGTCCAACGAAGGAAAAACACCAACTCGAATTTCCTGTTTACTGACCCACTGTGTGTTCTTGGAAAAGTGTACCTAATGAGATACGTACCAATGAAATAATTACCATGAAACAAAACGTCTTCGGTTGCTGTGATCTGTGTATAATATACCAAAGAGAGGTAATCTTTTTGGTACCAAAATAGGAAAACCAAGCTGATAGCACGAATATCCTTCACAGTTCGTCAGGTTTAGGCTATTTTTCACCAAATTTAAGGGGAAAAATCCACATTAGCATATCCCCACCACTTTCACAGCCAGAAAACTAACAATAATAGGTCTAATGTAGATAAATCCAGTTAAAATAACAGCGGAAGTTTTATAAATGAAGTTATTTTCTGCTAATCCCCATCCCGAACCAATCATAAGAGCCATGCATATCATGAGCATGATAATAAGTATCATTGGTACGTTGATCAACGACAATATCACCGCTATCGCCATAACAAATATCCATCATCATCATTAATCATCCTCATCAGTCATTAGTATCATCATTCGACTGCGGCTAGCGCCGTCCTGGTCGTATATTGCTTGCGTCATTGCCAAGCCAGTTTACCACGTTCTTTTCATTGTTAAAGTCGTTTTATTCCACAAATGTTTGTGTAATTCACTCACGTTAGTGATTTAGAATTACTTCATCATAACTACCTGTAGTAGTTTACTGTAATTTCTGTGATTGTACATTGCGCCTATTTAATCATATCGATCGGTGCCTATTTATGAAATGGTAAAGCAGACACCTTGTGGTATTTACTCAAAGTCGTTGGACATCGCTCAAATGCGGTTACATGCAGCTTCTGCAGCGTACACTTTCATATTTCGTGTATTGGTCGGTCGGTGGACAAATTTCGTGTAATTCAAGGCATTCAGCACGACTTTTGAAGACCATTTGTAATCGATGTCGGTCTAATCTTGGGCAGAATGAAGCCGAAAAGCCTGACAAGCGGATCATTAGAGCGAAGTGCGCTAAAACGCGCAGCTCGATTTGTCCTGCACCACAATCATAGAAACAGCCAACACCTAGTACGGCAGCGAATCTATCCCTAGAGCAAAGTGCTAGTGCTCCGACAGGCCTACGATTTCTTCAGTTGATACTAAAGCTCCAATTTGTAATAAGCAAATTGGTGATAACGAATGGAAAATGCAGATACCAAAGAAATTAAGAACAATGTCAAGCGACCTGAGGTGCCGCAGCCTCATGGTCTTTTACGTACCTGAATCATGTGATTCCAATCCTCAGGTGCGCCATGAACATGGTGTCGAGTTTTTGCAAACTCTGATTGATAGACTGCTCGACGTGGATGAGGGCGGGCTCAAAGTGAAACAGATCGCTCGTCTAGAAAAGAGAACCGAGGGCAAAAGTCGACCTATGAGGGTGACTTCTGTTGAAGAGACAAGTCCTAAGTTAATAGTGTCCCGCCTTAATAGGCTGAAAGGTCTAAAGATCCACGTGTGCGCTGACGTAGACCAAGCAGACAGAGGGAAATTCAAGTCTGCGATGATTGAACTAAAGCGACGCACGGACGATGGAGAAACAGATCTGCGTATTGTACATTTTCGGGTAGTCACTCGGATTCTTCCGCGAATCCGGATCAACAGGTTTCTAAGGATTCAGATGCGCCCTGCAGTTCCTACCGAGGCCTGCGCGTAGCCTTTATTAACGTCTGCAGTCTGATGAACAAACGCGATGAGCTGTACTACGTTGTAACCTCTCAGCGGCCATACGTATTAGGCCTTGCTGAGACATGGTTAAACTCCGACATAACCGCCAAAGAAGTGGAAATCGACGGCTACTCATGCTTCCGCTGTGATAGCTCATCAAATGATCGTAATGGCGTTCTGCTTTACATAAGGTCTTCCTTGTGTGGTAGACTAAAGAGCACCTACCGAAGCACTGATGGTCTATGTGAGCAGTTATGATGTTCGATTCACCTCAGACTGGTTGCCGCTTGAGTCGTCAGCTGTTCCTACTCATGGGCGATTTCAACTTACCCCGAATACAGTGACCTGAGGCTGAACTTCTGCTCGGCCATTGTGAAGTCGAGAGGAAGTTTACGGAGTTGATATTTGAAACCGGGGCCACATAGCACATCAACCAATCGACGCGCATAATTGCGCGCGCGACTGCATTGTGCTTAGACCTGCTTTTGACCAGGTGTGAGCAAGGTGTGCATGACATTCAAGTCTTGGAGCCCCTGGGAGCGAGTACTCACTCGATGATCATAGTCAGCTTAGAACTGCCACTGCCATCTTCTCCTCCGCTGGAGCCAGCCTTCAACTGCTGGAAGGCGGACTTTAATGGATTTACTCGAGCAGCGAGCCAGATAGGCTGGTCTTTAACAAAGGATTCGTCTACTGAAACCTGTTGGACTATCATTAAAGTGGGAGTGAAATCGTTGTGTGTCCGATTTGTACCCCTCAAGTATTGGAAAGTTGGGCCAGTCAAACCATATTGGTTCGACAAGGAGTACAGCAAACTGCCCCGACAACGACGCAGACTATGGAACAAATTCTTGTCACCTGGCTCTGATGAGGATTACAAGGCGTATAAGGTACAGCAAAATCTCTGCTTCGAATAGCAGTTTGCAACCGCCGCAAAAACTGCTCCCAAGCGGATCTTCGCCTACGTGAAGCGGCACCTGAAGCTTGCAGGCAATGTGCCACGGTTGTAAGGCTCAGATGGACGGCCCCTTGAGCACAGATCGTGCGTCCGCATTGGCGGCGCATTTCGCTTCCGTATTTGCAAGTGACCTGGTGTCTGTACCGCGTTCGACGAGTACTGCTCCCGCTGAACTAGACAGCCTGGATTGCAGCATTGAAGAGGTGCTCAAGATTCTGACAAGTCTTGACGGGACGAAGCCTACCGGGCCAGATAGAATCCAACCACTGATTCTCAAGTGCCTATCGGCCATCATCTCGCCTTCTGTAACTGAGCTGTACAACAGGTCACTATCCACTGGACTATTACCGGGCGACTGGAAATGCTCAGTCGTGAAGCCAATACCGAAAGGTGATAACCCAAGCAAAGTAAATAACTACCGGCCGATCTCTCTGACCGCTCTTTAGGCAAAGACGCTCGAAACGATTGTAAAGAAGAGTCTTCCGCAGCTAATCCAGTCGAAAAGCCTCTTAACGCCCGTGAACGAGTCGCTCGTGCATCACCAACCTATGTTGAGAAGGCACAAATGGTTACAAACGCTGAACCAAGGCAAATCGGTCGACGTCATTTACATTGACTTCAGTAAGGCTTTTAACAAAGTAACTCATGCAATACTCCTTGACAGGCTGAGGGTGTGCGGTGTTGGCGGCTCGCTGAATCGATGGATCAAGAATTTCCTTGTCGATCGAAATTGTTGGGTCCAGGTGGACAACCATTTAACCGACTGGTATCCACCAAGCAGTGACGTGCCCCAAGGCACTATACTACGGCCGATTTTGTTTCGCATCCATGTAAACGATGTGCCTCAGCTACCCCAATCACGTTATGTGTTATTCGCAGATAACTTGAGGGTGTGGAGAATAATCCGTACACGCAATGACTGTGACCAGTTTCAGCAGGACGTCGACCGCCTCTCCACGTGGTCTGCATAGGTCAACTTTCCGATCAACCCGGTCAAGTCGGAATTCATGAGGCCGGGTAAGCGTGAGCACAGTCGAACCTACACGGTGGCCGGTAAACCGCTACATTCAGCGTCTTTCGTGTGAGACCTCGGTGTACTCTCACGCTACGACTTAAAGTCCATGGACAACACGAATAGGCTTTACCAAAACAGCCTACGTATGTTTTGGGCGCTCAAGCACAGCTTCACCATATGGTCCGAAGAGATTACCACTCGCCTCTTCGTCACAATAATATGACCAGTGCTAGAGTATGGCTTTCCCGCGTATTTTCCTATCACCCAGGACCATGTAGAAAAGGTTGAGCGAGTACACCATGTAGCGACCAGGCTGATTCCCAACTTACGAGGTGTGCCGGAGGAAGTCCGCTGTAAGAAAATAGGGCTGTACACTCTAGCTTATCGTCGAATGCGGTTTGACTTCATCATGACGCACCGGATATTACATATCGGTGATTACCCCATGTTGAGGCCGCCGCGGCATCTGCGCACACGAAGCGGCACACGAGGACACCGGTACAAGCTTGTCGTACCGAATTTGAGGCGGGTCGCTCACCAACTCTGTTTCGAACGCAGAGTGGTGAATGTATGGAACGACCTGCCGCAGCACGTAGTTGAGGCAAAGTCCGTGTCGGAATTTACGAAGTTTCTGGACAAACACTTTGCCGACGCAAAATATATTGAGCGCAACACAACATAACGGGTTTTTGTCCCTGAATAAGTCGCAGCTACACAGAACAAACTCTACTTGTTTCTTCCAACCTGTAATCTGTAAGCATCATCATCCATCATCATAATCAACGTCGGCGGCAGCAGAAGCCGCAGCAGAAACAACCACGACGTTGATAATAGTAGTAGGGCATCATGTGATCCAGCTTGGTGACATTTGTGTCCCCATCTTTCTGCCATGACCTCACCATCTAGCGATTGTATTTGCTATATTCTTTTCTGTTTCACTTAGGTTTATCCCACCACTGTCCGAGCTATTGCAGTCGGGTTATTCAGCTCTATCTCTCGGCTCGGAGCCATCACCACTCCATACGTGGCCCAAGTCATGATGCCAGAAGTTTCACAAATCGGTGCCTTGGCATTCTACGCTTCAGCTGGCTTAGTATGCTGCGTGCTAAGCATCCTGTTGCCAATCGAGACAGCAGGTCGGGAACTCCCAGTGAGTCTACTGCCCTCAGGTTGCTTCTGCATTTGTTAATTTTATGGAACCTGTTATACTTTACTGAAATCTTCGAAATCATTCGTCGTTCCTACTTATCTAAAAAATTCCAGTTCGATATGAGGTGTAGGTGACACTGGCTACCTAGAACTTTTTCTTTAATTCTGAGTAAGAAACAGATATATCAAAGCAACTGTTCGCATTCACTTAAGTCACTGTGAACACCTCTTGAAATTGTAGTGATGTTGGTGTTATTGGCGGAGCCCAATACGTGTAATTACACCACCTAATATATTTATCTACACGTATCTCACTGGACTGCGCCGAATACAATTGCCGGTCTCGGAGATAATTGGACGTGCATGTTCACAGACTTTCTTTCCTTGTTGTTTATTCTACGGAGTTCTTGAAATGGCGAAACTTCCATCACAGAATGTATAATGTCAGCTTTGTAATGATACTACAGTGGCGTTGAATACTGTGTCTCGTGCATTATGGACGGATTCTCAGCTGAGCCGGCCTGAGATACAACTTGTGCTCGATGCCGATTTCGCTCAGTTAGACATAGAATTGAGGGCTGGCTGTATAGTTATATGAAGAACGTGGAACAATGTATCACGCGTAAAAAAGCAGGCGCTTGACAAAACTTGTGTACTCTCTCTACTTTCATGGCTCTTGATCACAAAGTCTCAGCGGTAATTTTCAATAAATTTTCAATATTTTTAGCAGTGGTTCTGGCCAACACTTATGTAAGCTTATTTTGAAGGCTTCTACAGAAGTACATTTAGACAAATTTTAAACAAGAATTTCCCTTTATAATTCCAAACAAGAAAATCGGAATACTTAATCAGTGGGATGACTCGGTCACTTAGTGCAAGTTCGTCAATCAGCGAGCCGATCAGCCAACGATTGGCTAACTGTTTATCTCACATGACTGTGTTTGGAATATCTATCCTTTTTGCATAGTTGTGAGTGACGAGCTTGCACGAACTGACTAAGTCATCCTGAAGTTTAAGTCTACCGCTTTTCCTGTGCAACATTTAGTTATAGTAGAGGACTGCCTGTTAAAATTACTGACTATACGATTCGCAACGAATTTCGCTCTAATATCTAGCCCCGACCTCTGATGCTGAGGTTCATATTCCCCGCACATAGCCGGATGTGTTTAGTCCGAACAGGCCTGTAGGCTTGATGTCAATGAGGTTGTTCATGACCTTGAGCATTTCTGTCAGGTCCCGTATCAATCTGAGCGGTTCCAGGGAATACAATCTTAGGCTCCTTAGGCGTTCGAAATATGACCGTTTACGCTGGTCCTCAAACATCCTAGTCGAAAATTTTTGAACCCTTCCCATACAAGTAAAATCCTCTAGAAGATCTGGCGCCCAAGTCTGAACAGAGTATTCCGATGGAGGTCGTACCATTACCTTATACAAGGGAAGAAAAAACACGTTTACTATTGCATAACGTTATCCTTAAACGGAATAGCTTCTGTTGCGTCTTATTGGAGGCATGCTGATACTATGTTTGAAGTTAATCGTCACAATGACGTCTAGATTATGCGCCTCATCGACACGCCGCGACGTCGGGGTACCGGAAGATGTTTGCACTGTAACCTTTTCTCCAGTGGAAGATAGTAGCTGAAGGTTAGTGGCACTGAAAGCTACGTGCCACATGGTCGACTATCTCGCCATACTACAAACTTCGTTAGACAATGTGCTTCTATTGTCCCTATTAACAAGTTTTAGATCGTCCGCAAATATATAACGAGGGTCCCCAAACAGAAAGATAAAGTCATTTGTAAAACAAGAACGGGCCTAGAACAGAATTCTGTAGAACACCGCTGCGAACAGCATATGTTCTTGCGATAACCTCGCTAACTCTAACACGGAAGATTCTCTTGTAAAGAAATTCTGCTATCCAATTCACTAGTTGGGAATGCATCCCAAACCATGTCAGCTTCTCTAACGGAATCAAAAATCTTACTGGATTCGATAGCAAGCTTCTATTGTAATTCCATCAATGAGACAGTGAGTCGTTTCGTCTAAAAACCATAACAGACTGGTAACATGCTTTCTTGACAAAGCCGTGCTGCTCCGCACTTCTGGTCACACGGGACTAAGTGTTTACAAATTCTGTTCCTGACAAGCTTCTCCAAGCGTCTGAGCAGAACGCTTGTGAGAATGATATGCCTATCGGAGTGCAGAGTTCGTTTCGTCTAAACTTCCGTTGACTATATTTATCAACAACGTGACGTTTCCATGGTATAATAGCAGTTTTGCCGGATCAACGGTGATCTAACCGATCAAGAACTAGCATATTTTGCTTGAACAGGCTACCACAACCATTGACTAGAGCTGCTAATACCGAGGCCTTGAAGCTTCCAGCGATCAGTCACAATGCATTTTGGTACTAGTGACTACGGATGCTAGTGGCAGCCCGCATGGCTTTGGAAATGCGCCAAGTGATACCTATAGTTAACTCTCAGCACCAAGCTAAGCAAATTAAACTGACCTGCTGATCTGTTTCAACAAGCATTCCTGTATGGCGCCCTCCTAATTGCGAAGATCGAAGCTTATTATGGCACGTGTAACAGACATTCCCAAGCCCCACAGAATATCTCGGGAGGTTGCTGAGGAAACACAGTTGTCATCAATGAAGCCAACATACTCCGAGTTGCGAAGTCTGTACCAGGAAGTCGTTGGGCACAAGTAGGTCAATCGTTCCCCGTAGAAAGGTCTATGGAAACGTTGAACTATGGACGTGCGACGGAGCAGCCCTGTCTGACGTCATCGGCGATAGAGAGCAAGACGAAAGTTCACAATATACCCACTCTATTGTCCCTATTGACGAGGTTTAGGTCGTCCGCAAAGATATAGTGAGGGTCCCCAAAGAGAAGCATAAAGTCATGTATGGACACATCCACAAACACACACTTGATCGCTCGGTCACTCAGACCATCTGGGACCTGTACCCTTATCTGATGTTTACGTTCATGTCATTAATTTGTGGTGTATTAGCCTGACGAGGAACAACTGAAAACGAGCTTATTCGCTAACATTTGTTCTGAATATAGAACTTACAGAACGATAACACACATTTCAGACATTCTTACTGTTTCTGGTTAGGTCCGAACAGTAGCTCTATCCAACGACCCACCACTCCACTCTGTCTCATTCAGACAAGTGCATGGGAAGTGTTTCGGAAATTTTTCACTCACCACCCGCTTGCGGAGTAAAAATGCTTGAGTTTTTGGAGAGTAACGAATGTCATGACTCACTCAAGTGATTGTATGGGCAACTGAAGATTTGTAATAACCTTGCAGAAGTTTTGATGACTCACAAAAGACCTGGTGTCTCTTTTAGACCGCTAGGAATTACAGTGAATCGCCGTTAACCACTAACGGGTGCACCAACATATATGACAACATACTTTTAAAAAGTGCAATCCATCATTTGCTATTTGTCATAATTTCTTGTATTTGGCTCTTCCCCTATTGTGGATTTACTGGAATCTAAGATCAAAAGCGAAATAAAAGCAGTGCATGACCGCAATCACTTTTCGCGCAAACATTGTTTTATGTCGATGCAGTGAAAAAATATCAATGTTATTTTTTCAGAACACTGTTGAAGAGTCAAAATCGGAGCCTCGAGAGAAGTAAATTACTCCCTTGATCTGGTGACGAATCTGGACACCTATTTTGACGAGCTCTTGATCACGGGAGTAGTACCCTGTGTACGCACGGGTATACTTTCCTGTTGTGGTCGCCGCGCTTTTCTACGTTCAAGTTCATGCAATGTGAACGAGATATCAACAGAGTTATTTGACGGGATGATCCCAAGCAACATTTTTATCTTTCCTTCGTTTCACACGTTACTTGGTGTTACACTTTTTCTATTTTTTCATCTGCGAATCATTCCTACCATCAAACATCCGTTTCGTATGTTGATGACCTGTACCGTCCTTGTTGTAACCAGTGATTTCCTTCCCTTCTCAATTTCAAATGCTTTGCTGACCGATTCTCACCTTCGTACTGCCGTTTTGTGCGACACTCTTTTTATGACTTCCTCCATGACTCACGAAGGGATTTTTTGTACCTTCGCTTTCAACACATTTTGATGCGTCGGACTAAAACACAATGCGCCATTGTTGAGATCAAATTTCGGTTGTTGTATCATAATGTGAGCAGTGAAATACGCAATAAATTGAACGATTTGTAAATGAGATTAGTCAAACGAACTTCAGCGTAAAACAAACGTTAATTTTAATTTTTTTGTCCCAACAGCTTACAAGCTACATAACACAGCCTAGTCCGGGAAAACACCAGACGCGCTTCGCCCTATTGGAGCTCATCAGCGGTGCGCGTTCCCTCGGTCCACTACTCTGCATCGAACCCACGTCCGCTAGAGGCAGATGCAAACTGCGCTACATAATTTTCAATCTAACTGGGATGTAGCACCACGTATCTTCTACTACCACGCAGGTCACTACTTTAGCAGTTTGTTAACTTGTCTGTTGCTGAAAAATGATATTGCGCGTCTCGTTTGGTGAGAGGCTAACAGCATAATCACTTCCCAGGTGGTAAATAGTTTCCGAAATTTGATCTAGTCGTTGCCTATCTACAAGTTCCAGTGGCCGAAGGTTTCAGAAAAGCAATGGCACTCAATATGCGTCTTGGGATTTTCTAGTACATTCCGCTGCTCTTCGGAGTGAAAATCGTACCCGTTCTTTTCAACATATCATGAGTAGGCTACTAAACGACCTTCCTGAAGTTGCAGTATACCTAAAGGTGCCTGGATTAGGGGTTCAGATTCACAAATTTTGCTTGAAAAGTCGAAGGAGATGTTCTTACACTTAGAGGAAGCTGGCTTCAGACTGCGGGTAGAAAAATGCAATTCTAATGTGGAAAGTGTCAACTTTCTGGGATTCGTCATCCACAAAACTATTTGGCACCCGATTCAGCCAATATAGAAGCCGTCAAGCAGAGCTAGTCGAACTTCACTCATTCCTCCCTCTTGTCAGACATTATAGTCTTTTCTTGACAAGCCTTCATTTGAGAAGAGATCTACTGAACGGGTTGCGGATGAAAGGGGAAAAACAGAGATTGACAAAGGAATGCCAAAAATCCCATGACACAGCCAAGGCACCGCTTTGTTCTGATCATCTCTTGACCCATTTCAACCCAGCCTTGGAGATTGTTGTCACTTCGGGCACTTCCAAGTAAGGGATACGTGTTGTCATTTCACGTCATTCCAAGAAGAGAAGAAAAGTTCATCACGTATACAACACAGTCGCTGAAGGAGACTCAGAAAAGGTACAGCTTCTGTGGAAGAAGTTTTGGTGATCTTCTTCGTTGTGAAACGATTCCACAAGATAAATTGAGGTAAACACATGGCCCAGTGTTGTTACACCGTGCATGGGTATTCGCTACGTTTAGTTGCCTATTAATTGGAGTTTCTTACTTGAAACGATGCTAACTTCCAGTCATTTAATCTGCGGAATCACAAGGCGCCCCTTGAGGGACTGAATTTTCGCAAACTCACTGGGATAGTTTGATCGTCGTAGAGCTATTCCGGCCGATTCAAATATCAATGATTGCGTCACATTCTCAGCCAACAACTTAAGCAAAGCCTGCGTGCGGATCGCGAAACTTGATGGTCCCAGCGCGCTTCAGAGATGAAAACGGCAGCCCTCTCTGGAAACTTGCGCATGCTCTTCCGGATCACTTGGGCCACTGGTCACAAAAGATCTGGCGTCAGTGAGGATATTTATGAGATTGACGGAATGCCGATAGGCAACTTACACAGGCGTATAGACCGCTGGGCTGAACACTTCCGCACTCACTTCAGCTGGCCTCCGCCGGCGAGCTTAATGGGTATACCTAGTTTGCGCGCTTTGGAACGTCTCGTTGGAACCACCCACTGAAGCTGAGATTTGCCTTGAGCTCCGACATTTGAAGCGATTCAATTCTGCGGGCCCAGATGGAGTTCCTCCAGAGCTGTTCAAGTTCGGGGGAGAAGCACTTGTCAACCAGTTAATAGCTTTGTTCTCTAAGATCTGGTTTGAAGAAACAGTTCCATCCTCTTGGTGCGAGTCAATAATCGTGCCGATCTTCAAGTAAGGTACCCGTACCCTATGCACTAACAACCGAGGAACCAGTCTAATGTTCATTACCTCCAAGCTGTTAACAGCCACCTACTCCGCAGACTAACCCCGATTCAACAATTGCGCTCCCATGAGGAACAGGCTGGTTTCCGCCCCGGTCGAGGGGGTATAGACCACTTGTTTACAGTCCATCAATACCATGATACGCGTAATCTTTACCGCCAGCACACTATCGTTGTTTTTCTGGACATCGGATTCGCTTTCGCCTCCGTCGATCGACCAGATTTATGGCGTTGCTTACAAAGGAATGGAGTACCCGAAAAGTGTATCGCCATCCTTCGGGCATTATATTGGAATGTCGCAGGTAAAGTGAGGGCTTATGGTAAGCTCTCTTCACCTTTTACCGTCACTAACAGTGTACGACAGGGTTGCGTTATGTTCCCGTTTCTCTTCAATTTTGCGATCCACGATGTCCTTTTAAACGCTCTCGAGGGTTTTCAGGGTTATGGTCTAGAGCTTTTTCCTGGCAACCGGGTGACCGATTTAAGCTATGCCGATGATATTACCTTGTTTGGTGATGACTCACAGGGCACACAGGCCGTTCTAAACCGCTTGGCAATTTAAACGTCAACCTACGGCATGACCTTTGCCCCTACGAAATGCAAAGTCCTGGTCTTGGATTGGCACCCACCTGTTCCAGTGTTCACTCTTCAAGGTAAGCAGTTTGAACAAGTGGACAACTTTGTTTACCTGGGAAGCTGTGTCTCCGCTGATGGTAGCATTGGGAAGGTGGTTTCCCTCCGCATTGTCAAAGCTCCTTCAACATTCGCAAACGTGAGTCGTCTGTGGCGACGCCGCGACGTTTCACTGTTGGTAAAGGGCAGGGTCTACAATGCCTGTGTTCGCGCGGTGCTGCTGTCTGGGAATGAGTGCTTGCCGATTCGTGTGAATGACTTGCGCCGGGATTTCAGCCTTTGACAATGGATGTCTTAGGTGAATAGCTCGAGTGTGGTGGATGTACCACATACGCAACGATGATGTTAAACATCGCGTCTTGGGTAACACGGGACTTCCACTTGACAGACTGGTACCACTGCGCCAACTAAGGCGGCTGGGCCACGTTTTACACATGCCAAGCGAACGGCTTCCCCGACGCGCTCTTCGCTCGCATAGCGCCAGGCTGGAAGAAATCGCGCGTGGGCCGGCCTATCAAGTGGCGACAAATGATTAAAGCTCTGACTTCCAGTTTGTCTGTCGTAGATTCCGTGCATTTTCTGGGCTGGGGGAACAAAGATGAAGAACACCGCTGGCTGGAAACCTTTTCAGAGATGGCACAGAACTGGCCTCAATGGACAATATGTACAAATGTTTGGCTTGATTTGCCTGAGTTACGTCGTAAACATTAAGCCGACAAAAAATGATATGTCGTGTGAAAGAAACAAAGAAAAGGCGATACAAAAAAGCTTTATTGCAACTTTCCTTCTTTACCTTTTGGTCTTTGTATTTATTACTTCCGTTTCATGGTTTTCCGTGGCTCTATGTCGACCTTATGGACTGCTGATAATAATAATATTAATAATAATAATACTAACAATAATGTAGTGCACTTTCCGGCTGGAGTCTCACAATTAGGGTACTAGGTGTAGCGCGTCAGTGTCGCTGTATCAAGTCAACAGGTATGATGTCGTCGAACGTAGCTTAGATTGCGATTGTCTTTCCCCTTCGCTTTGCCTTCCCATTTCGCCTTCAATATAGTTAGATCAGCCTCCTCTCGTGCGTGTTTGCACGCCATTTAGCCAGTCATCTCAAGTTCGATCCTCCATCAGCGGCTGTGACAATGCCCGTCCAGCACGCCAGGAGGTGTAACACAGGCACACCCTCCATCCACCTCCGAACTCTTACAGTGATTGTGGTGTAAATAAATAAATAAACTGTTTATTCCTCGACGGTGCGAGGCATAGTCCAACAGTCCAGCTGCTTACGAAGTATCTGTTTGACCTTTGAGCCCCTTGGTCTATTACGACCCAAGTACGCCCTGGACACGGAAGTCCTCGGATCCCACAATCGGGCGCATACGATACTAGGCGTGGACGAGCCGGTCGTCATTTTCGGTCACGCTTGTGACTGATTCATACATGGATCCAATTGATCCGTTGCAGATTCATCTGCTTTTCTTCTAGATTGAACGGATAAGCCAACTAGACGGAACTCACGTGCCACATATTCATGGAACGTCATGGTGCAGTGGCTGGAGCGTGCAGATAACATCACGCGTGCGTGGACATTCAGTGAGTGTACTGGTGGACGGGATAGTCCAGCGCACGCAATCTAACATCATCCTCTGCACAGCACACGCTTTATGGAGTGTAACAGCTAAGGACAAGTGAGGTGCATGTTCAAACGGATTGTGCGGAATGGACAGGAGTCTAGTTAAACCAATCCTAAGAAATCGTCAGTAAAAGCCAAGTAAAGATACGGAACGTGCCGCCGCCTTGATGCCAACGGATAATCTTTTGTTGTAATATCCTTCCTGACTTGTAATAAGTTACCATGCCA